CGAAAGCCGAGGATGAGCACCTTCACGGCGCCAGGGCGGAACAGCTCCACGTTCTCCGTGCGAAGCTCAAGCACCTTCTTCACCGCCGTGTCCCCCTCGCTGGGGCACTCCGCGAAGGCGAGCGTCGCCGTGGGGAAGCTCGCAACGAGGCTCCCGGAGCTGGTGCCGCCGGCCGAGGCCGTGCCAAGCAGCAGCGTCGTTTGCTCCAGCCTCACGGTGATCGAGCCACACGGGATGCGGGTGAGCGGGTTGCCCATGCAGGGGATAAGGCTCCGCTCCGCCTCGGCAGCGACGGCGACGGCTCTGCTGCCACTGCGGGACTCCCCGCTGAGCATTCCCGTCGTTGTCGCTATTCGGCGCGTCACTGTCTGATACCGGCAGGGGTCTTTCACCGCCAGCAACGACTTTTCGCTGGTCCAGTAACAACGCCATGTCGCAGAAGACTTCCTTTAGCTGCACTGAGAACGTTGCGCGGGTCGCCTGCACGCCACTGTCGCGCAACTGCGAAGCGGACACCTCCCGCTGCTGGGCCACAATCTCGCCCACGCTGCTGACGGTATTGAGTATCGCCGGCACGGTACTTGGCGTCACGAAAACGTTGCTTCTGCACAGCGACACAGTCGCCTCGACAGCCGCGCTGTGCGCCTCCCCCGCGCTGTCCATGGACGCGAGGCAGAACTCAGTCACCTCGCACTCAAGCACGTCCTTCAACTGCCGCTCCTTACACCTGGCGTGCAGCTTCTGCACGCACAGCACATTGCGGAAGGTGCGTCCACTCGGCGACCGCGCCAACGTCCCCGCCCCCTGCGCGCTCGCAATGAGGAACCCCTTGACAAGCACGCTGTCCACGTTGGCCACACCGGAGAGCACACCCTCAGAGCGCACGATTATCGAGCGCACCGCCGCATCAAAGCACATCTTGCGACACGCCCGCCCGCCAGATTGCGCTCTCAGCATGATAAAACTGATGCCGCCCAGAGTTGCCTGTTGCGCGTTGCCAGCGCTAAGTTCGAGTCGCACCTTCATGCGTGAAGCCGTGACGAGAAGCATCAGTGCCTCATCTACGCAGCCCTCACTCATCGCCTCGATGCGCCGGTGAATCCCGGGGGCCTTCTTCACGTTTTCCTTTATGATGTTTGCGCCGCGTGTGAAGATCTGACGAATGCTGTGCATCGACTCGAGCAGCGACTTGTGCCAGAGCTCCTGTACAATGAAGAGCTGCGCCATGTGCGGCGCCCGCACCGTTATCTCCGCATCAACGCCACCCGCGACATCCAATGGGGTATGCACGTATACATTTGTCAGCTCCCACGCACGCTGGCGCCGTCGCAACGCGGTGCACGCCACAACCTCCGGCAAGAACATCTCAAATGACTTCACCTCCAGCTTCGCCTGACATTCCAGCCGCGTCCGCCGAACGCAGAGGATGAAGGACACCGTTGGCTGCTCAAACGCTGTCGCGTCGTCCACCCGTGCCGGTGGCGACCTCAGCACCCGCTTCACGAAGAAGTCAAGGCTGCCTCCACGATCGTCCTGGAAGAGTGCGAGGGTTACCGTCGAGGCGGGCTTTGTCGTCAGCACAAAGCGCAATCCCGTAATGCGGATGTGAATGCTAGCAAAAATATTCCGCGTGCGGCCGCCACCAGCTGTGGCCCCTGCGACCGAGGAGTTCGGAACCTCCGGCGGCGGAGACGCAACTTTGAGTTCCCGCCGCCGCTGCTGCTGCCGTTGTTGCCGCAGTACACTCAAGACGTTCGACGTCGGTCGGGCCTGTGCCACCGCCTCCGCGAAGCCGCGGGGCACTGGCAGCGCCACGTCGGCTATGGACGAATGTAGTGCAAGGCCGCTGCTGGCCATGTCCTTCTCCCACTCCCTCACAAGGCCAAGGAGCTTCGCCACGCGCCCACTGTTGCTGCGGTCCTGCACCGCTGCCCACGCCTCAATTTCTTCTGCGAGGGACATGATGGAGGGTCCAATTTCAGCCGCCCCCGCCTGCATCTCCACGCGGGCAATCACCTCCTGATCGGGAATCGCGGAGTCGGACACAGTTGCCAGCACCGTGGCGGTGGTATCCGCCGTCGGAAAGGTAAGCAGCTCCGCCATGGGGTACACCACAGTGGCGCCATCTGCTGGGTCAGAACCCTTGTTGTCCTTATCAAGCGGCTCAGGGGCGAACCTCACGCGCTGTCGGAAGGAACGGGTTCTCTTGCTCGCCAAACCCTCTGCGGCCTGCGAGGTGCCGGGAACACCGGGAGGAGTGTCTCTCTGAAGGGAGTAAATCTTTACCTCACCACGCTCAACGCGCGCTGTAACTTCAAGTTGGTACAAAGTGGGACCGCTGTGCACTGCATGTGGCCCTGCGTGTGGATTCAATGGATCAGCGTGCCGCTCCTTTCCGGCAGTTGCCGCTACTCCCTCCATCTCGCCCATGGAAGGCCGTCGTGGCGGCTGGTGTGGCGTTGAGGTCGTCCCATGGCTTGTCGCCTTTGACGCCGTGTGAGGCCTAAAAAGATCACGGAGCGACACGGAGGGCATTTCCTGTGTGAGCTGGCTAAGTATACTCACAAAGCGAGTTGCGATGCAAACTTTGGGGGCACTCACATCCATGACGGCGCCGACGGCGACGCTTCTGCCAGTCTTAGTCAGATGAACGGGGGCGTCAATGGAGCCAACAGACACCTTCGAAAAGGAATTGCGGCACTCCTCACGGTCCAGGCTGGTAAAATTGCCCAGGCCGCCAAGGACGTGCGTGCGGCTGAGCAGCTCCTTTAAGGGAAGGCCACTGTCCAGCGGTGAGCCATCACTGCAGTAGAGGTTCGCGTCGTCCAGCACGCAGCGCGCCGTAAACGTCAGTGTTGGGGTGGTGTCCTGCTCTGCCTCGGCAAAGAGAGGAGCAAACTCGCTCTTCTCCCGCGCTGGCAGCGTCGCAGGGGCCCAGCTCTGGGACCTGAGCAGGCGGCACGCAAAGGTCGACTTTTCAACCTTCAGCTTCAGTGCCATGGTGGGGATGAAGTGCTTGCGGTTCATCGCCGCTGCGCCACGTCCGGGGTGATGCACCTCCTGCTTCCCCTCGACGATGTTGCGGTAGGCTGCGTCGCCAAAGGGCATCACCACAAGAAAATTCGACACCGTAGCGAAGAACTTGTTATCCGACATTGCGCTGAAGAGGTTTTCCTTGGCATCGGTGCCACTGTTCATCCGCGGCTGTGACGTATAGGGGGAATGTGCCTGGAACGCGGCGACGCCGCGAGGCAGCACCTGCGCCGTCAACTCCTGCAGACGCCGCATATTTTCCCGCTGTGTTCGCTGCACCTGCGCCTCCATCTGCTTCTGCACGCGTGCCAGTCGGTGGTAAGCCGCATGCTTGAAAAGTTGGCGGCGGAACAAACGACCCTCCCGCTGCGAGGCAAACCGCATCTTCTCCGCAAGCTCCTTCGTCTCGTCAAAGGACTGCCGCAGCAGCGGCACCAGTCCGACGCGCGCAACGATGAGCGGCGAGACGACCGAAAGTTTCCATCGCGTGGCGGTGCTGACAAGCTTTTCCAGCTCACGCATGTCCACTGAGGGTCCCTGCGACGCCGCAAAGATGTTCTCGATCGCCGCTCGCACCTCGTTTGTGTCGCTGCGCCCGCTGGAGAGCGTGAAGGAGGTCTCAACCAGGCCCCAAACGAAGCCGCCGAGCGGGCGCACGAGCCGCACGGGGTCCTCCGAGGCCATCGAAAGGGAGTGCGTGGGCAGCAGCGCCGCCTTCGTGCTGGGCGAGGATGCATCGCTCCGGGCCGCAGCTGTTGCCTGGCGCAGCATGGACTGCAGCTGGTCGTAGTCGTCGCGGTCCACAAGCGCGAGCTGCGCGGTAGCGACACTCACCAGCAGACTTGTTATTCGGTACCTTCCCGCGGAGGAGATGTCCGCCAGCGCATTGAGCTTCCGCACAGAGAAGCGCAGGTTGGTCATGGAGGTGAGGTAGGAGACACAGAGGCCCTCCAGGAGAAACACAAAGCGACCCTTCCACCCCGGCGGCGCCGCCGCGGCCGCACTGCTTGGCGGCTGTAGCTGGGCAACTTCCTTCTCCGTCTCCTCCGCCTTCCCACCCACGTGGAAGGGCTTCGAGACGGTGCTGTACACGCTTAAGAGCCTGTCAGAGAACAAAATCAAATGACTGATGGTGCTCGACGACACGGTGATCTCAACCGTTTCCAGCATGCAACTGCCGCTCCGCACGTGTTCGTCCTTGGCGTAAATGACGTACACGCTCGGAAATTCAACCGCATGCCTCCCCGACGAAGGGCTTTCCGAGGCCAACATGAAGGGATGCAGATGCGCCTTAAAACTCAACCGACTATCAGAGGAGGTGTTAAAAAATGCTGAGGCAAGCGGGACCTTCAGCTCCGTGCTTATGCCTTGGGACAAACCCATCTTGACCTGCAGCTCATGCAGCTGAAGGGCGCAACAAGACGCATGGATCCTCTTCTGGTAGGGCAGGGAGCAAGGAGAGGTAGCTGCCATCCATCTTCACGGGGTTAGAGGGGCGCATGGCTTTTAGAATCTTCTTTGCCTCAATCCACCCCTGTAGCCATTGATGCATCTGGGCCTGCACCGTCTCAGTCGCCACCGGTCGATACGGCAACGAGAGATGAACCTTCCCAATGTCTACCTGCAGGTTCATCTGCACGCCCTCCAAATCACCCGCGGGTTTCTTCTCAGAAGCGTCATTTGGGTCGCCATCGCTGGTGGAGATGCGATTCTGGTCCGCGTAATGTATGCCCACCGCCAAGTGCGTCGCAGTCGCAGAAAACACGCGCGACTCCTCATGCTCGCCCACCGATCCCGTGGAGCTGCGGAGCGTGTCGGCCAAGCTGCCCGGCAAAATCGCGTCGGCAGCATACTGCATAAATATAGACTCCGCAAAGAAGGATGCGGTTTTCTTCAGGTGCAGCTGCGGCGTTACGGACGGTGAAGCTGCGCAGCAACCCTTTTGAGCACGCAAGCGCGCCCGCTGCGCCAAGGCGTGCAGACGTTCTCGTATCCGCTCAGAAATCGCCCCCGTGAAGACGTGCGTCTCGACACACTCTCGTGAGCTGATGCGCTCTGTGCGGGACTCGCCACACCCAGTGAGGTTGGCCACCTTGAACTGCATGAAGTTTAGCTCGGAATGCAAAAACGACGCGTCAAGCCGCCGCAAAATGAAGCTGCCTTTAAACACGACACCCAGGCCGCCGCCGGGCGTGTGGGCATCAGGGGGGCCAGACGCTCCATTCAGCGGGATGAACAGCGGCGAAGGCGACGCGCTGTCGCACTCCGCTGTCATTGGCACAGCCACCGCCGCCGCCGCCTCCTTTGCCGCGCCCAAGATGCGCAGCACAGACGGATAGCACGTGATCAGCAGGGCGCTGATCTCTCCGATAAGTTGCACCTCTGCATCTCGTCGTTGCCGCGACGTAAGCCGTTGCGTCCCCATCGTTTGGTGCGGCAAGGACGTCCCTAACGTCGTTGACGCAAGCAGTCGCATGGAGCTGAGCTCGCCAATGGCCGGCGCAGTGCCCTCGCCTTTCCGCCCCATGGGCACCTTTGCGAGGAACTTCGCCGACGGACGCCCCACCTCAATGACGCTGGAGGCCTTCGTGTTGACGCACAGGTAGCCTCCTTCGCGGTACACGTCAATAAGTTCGACGCGGAATGTGTTGATCGCGCCAACGCCCTGGACGGAGATACTCGCCTCGATGCCATAGTCCTCCAGTGAGGTCAAGGACGCATGCATCGACTGCGACTGCCGGGGGAACACGACTTCACGGACGCTCTCTATACGCCTGTGGGGAGGCACGAGGGGATCAGACGCGGCGGGGATGGGGAGGGGGCCACTTCCTCGCCGCGTCAGCCGCTGCAGGTCACGAAGCTGCAGCAACATCGCCTTGACGGAATGAACAAAGAAGAAGAAATCCCGTGTGAGGTGCAAGGCGACGGTATCCAGAGAGATATGGCATGTCCCACTCCCTATACCGTGCGTGTTGTCGCGCTTTCCACGCGCGCAAACGGAGGTGAGGTACACCACACCCAGTGTGTCCTTCTCCTCGTCGTAGGCGATGCCAGGAACCCTGACTTGCAGGTTTCCCCTCCGTGCTGCAGGTTCATACTCAATCTGCGTGATGACGGCCAGTGAGGAGAGCGTGACTGAGGCAGACAAGGCGCGCTTCTCCGCCGGCATGGCGGCATGTGCGGGGGGCAGCGTTTGCTGCATGACAAACTTAAATGAACGTGCACCCAACATCGTTGTGTAGACTCCCGCACCTTTGGCGCCGGGTGCCATATTCTCTTGCGGCACCGGAAGCTCTGTCAAGGCCTTCACCTCAATGCAGGGAAGAATAACACTCGTAACCTTCACCTCGGAGAGCCACCGCTTCTGGTGCACACGGTTCCTGCTAAGCTCCCTTCGATGGATCGCACGCTGCTGCTGCTGCTGTAGTTGCGCCTCTGCCTGGTCCACCTTGTCATCCAAGTCATTGGCCTCCCACCCACCCGAGGTTTCCCGCGAAAACGAGTGCCTCGTGGCCGGCACAACAGGGGAGGCCTGGTAAAAGTGCACCTGCGTGAAGAAGCGCGCCTCGGCGTCAAAGAGCAGCCTCTCGATGAAGGGCCTTGTCACAAGCACCGTGAGCGGCGCCACCGCCTCAAGGTGGAGGTGCTTCGACGTGGACCCCTCCCGGGAGCGCTTGCGGTTGTCGGTCTGCCGCAGTGCCCACACCTCGGACTCCTCGTCGTCCGCGCCGCCCAGCGTGGAGTTCAGCATCTCCTGCGCCATGCAGAAAGCTGGTGCCCGATGGGGGTTCATAGATGCGCAAAACACCGTCGATGGGAGCGGGGCTTGGAAGCGCGTGAAATCACGCAGGCCACCCTTTGCAGGGCGTGCCGCCGCCGCCGCCGTGGCGTACTTGAGCGACGTCACCTCGTCAGCCTGTGAGTGGATAAAGAAAGGCCGCAGGAACGAAGTGAAGGGTTCAACCGGACGCATCTCGAGACTATCCGCCACCTCGGGCCCCCGCGCCAACAGAGACGGCGAGCATGCACCGTCCCTGCCGTTCACGGCGGCGCGGGACTCGCTGTTCTCGCTCTCTGTGCGCTCCATATCCTCACTTTCCTCGTCAAATTCCTTCCCGCTTGCCGCTGAGAGGCAAGTCAGGTATTGCTGGGACGTCTTATTGTTTTCATGCAGAGAGCTCGGAGGTGACTGCATAGCCGCAACGCCCCCGGACAATTCAGGCGCAGAGGTCGTCGTTGCCAGTGAGGTATTAACCTGCTCATAAAAAGATGATGGAGCCTGCACAAAATAATTCGTCGCCCGGTGAGAGCTCGCCGTCATTTGCTGCTCCGCTTCCGGCTGGCTGTCTCGTAGCACCGACTGCGGCTCCGTGGTGGCGCCCGCTGCGGCGGGGTGGGTGGTGTGGGAGGGAACTCGCAGGTGAAGAGATGGTCCACGTCGTTCTCGGCCAAAAACCGCCGCTGGCTCTCGAGGTGGCGCTCGAGGCCCTGGTCAAAGGGGTACGCCGTGCAGTTGCGCACGCGCAGCGACGTC